TTTATTATTCATTATTTTCACTTGACTCGCATAAATAATTTTGTTGAAGAACATTTATATGCAGTTGTACTTCGCAGCACTTCACTTGCAATTTGCAATTTCTAGTACTATAATAACTATACGCACCTTCAACCATAGCAGGTTTCATCAAACTGACGTACGCACATCCCACAATTCATCGCTCTGAAAAAATCCCGCCATTCCTCATCACGGCCCTTTTTTAGACTACAGCCATCGCCGCCATTGCGGATGCGGATACGAAGGAGTTACAAAATGTCGAGTAGATACGGTAGTCGGCCGCCTAATTCATCACTTTATGTACGCAATGTTCCTGATGGATCAAGGTATTATGCATTATATAATAAAGAATAGTTACATATAATTTGTGATTATAATCCGTTGAGTGTTTACATACAGTTTCACTTTAAATAAAGTCGTAGCTAGGCTAGGCCTACTAGGCCTAGGCCCTACTACTATTACACATTATTACTTAGCGTAAGCTTAGGCCGCCTGCCCTGTACTAGTGCCGGTGGCCTAGCCTAGGCATTTATTGGAGGGCAGGACGTTTGACAGACGAACGGGCCAGCGAGAGAGACGATAAAAAAAAAATCAAGGAATCTTTATTGTCGAATTTTGATCCGGGAGCTAGCCTAGGCATAGTAGGCCCTATGTTTATACATATATAGGCTAGGCCTAATTACAATTGCCATTGACATTGGTTAAATCATTGGAGGTATTAAAAATAGAAAAAGTAGAAAATATATCATCAGGCCTAGGCCCTAGGCCTATAAAAGTTGGCCACCGATTTTCACCTGGGCTATACCATTCTAAAAGTGGGTGTCAAGGTTGAAATTTCATCAAAGTGCTCTATCAGCAAATAGCTGTTGTTGGCTGTGGCTTTACTACAACATCAATTTATTCTTATTCTACAGCAACAAGCTTCGTAAATTGTTTAAGAATACCATGAGCTTATTATTCTATGTGTATTTGTATAATCCATTGCTAGGCCTGGATCAGTAGAAATGATTACACAGCCACTGCAATTGTCTGTACGAAGTGCGCATAAAAAAATATATAATCTAGCCCACTGAGCGACTGGTGGCGAGGAACACATTTGACTTAAAAGGGCATTGCTTATCTGACTTTATTTTATGTACTGTGGAACTTTGTTATTTGCTCATTTGCATGTAGTGGAGCGATCTCCTCACTATACAGTACTCCATGCATAGACACACTGTCACATGCTAACACATGTATTGTCTATTACATACAGTAATTTGTCAAAATATGAGCTAAAATCCATGAGAGTTGCCTTCATTATGTAATTATAAAAAACACTAAGAACATTAAAAATATTAGTAGGAATTGCATGTACAGGTAGGTAGTAGTAGTAACTGTTTAGGAAGGGTATGTTGTCAAATAAGGCTATCATGCAGATCAAGAATTCAAGACCTCAATGACACAAGGAATTTGTTGTTTAACTAGTCTGCAATTACAGATGTTCATCCAATTCTTCCCATTATTTTATTTATGTCCAGGCCGGAGGAGGTACGCAAGTTATTTGGTCGCTATGGACCAATAAGCGATGTCTACATACCACTGGATTATCACACACGTCAGCCGCGTGGATTTGCCTACGTCCAATATCCTTCTCGTCATTCCTTCATTGATCGATCAGACCCAACAGTTGTTCATCTCAGCCTTTATGTGTGACCGTTGTTACACCCTTGTGCTCGAGACCAAGGTTGATGGGATACACTTGTCCATGTGTAATCCTAGTCAAGCTGTTAGAACAACTACAAATTTGGCAAGTCTATTAACATTCATGTATGGTTCTTGTCTTTTGCACATGTAGAAATCAAGTCAAGCAAAGCAAAGTGCAAGGTTCTGACAAGTTTCGCTTCTGTCAATGGAATATTTTCAGATATTCTTTGTCAAACCAGCCTTTCCCCTTGCCGCAAGCTTGTTTATAATCTTAGATGTTGGCAACAAAGCCCAAAAAACCCAAATTTGCTAGTTTAAATCAGTATAAAGAAAAGCTTTCAATTGTCTCGATTGTGATTTGGCTTGACAAAGAATATCCAAGACTGCGAAGAGAGAATAGATTGAATGCACAGAACAAGACAAGTACAAGTTTAAAGTCATCTTTTAAAGTTAATATCAAGCATCACCTATTACAGTACAAGCTTCCAACCTGGAACAGCTTGATCAGTCATCATCCAAGTACCAATAAACTCAAGTGTAATGACCGATAACTGACCAAGTGCGAGGTAGGCCACAAGGGAGACAAAAAAAGATAAAAGAGTCAGTTGGCCAGGATATCCTTGGGTACATACAGTATATGTGGTGAAGGGTTTATTCACAGCATGGTTAACATTACAAAATTTATTTTATTTTCCTCTTAAATTGATACTGTATTCAATATATTCCAAATTAAATTAAAAACCATTTCTAATAATGTAAATGATTTTGATACCCTTTCTAGTAATACTAATTCTTTCCTTTATACATGGTGTTTTTTTTTATTCATATTTGAAATTTAACCCTTGAAGCATACGATCAGTCATTTTTCAGTAGCCAAAATTGTCTAAGTTATAGTCAATTAGCCTAATCCTTGAATTCATATTAATATAATAGTAGTAATAATCTTATTATGGCTCATTTTCCTCTAATTCATTTTAAGAAGGTACATATATAATTTCAAAATACTTCTCATCTATAATGACAATCTCTACATGTTATATTATGATATATTTAAGGTGGTTTTGCTTGGTATATTGCTGATGATTTTATCATATTAACCTTTTTATGGACATAATTACTAAAATTTTATTTCTGGGAATCAGTAAACATTATAAAAGAAGCATCCTTAACAGTGTCTTCACATTTGATGATATTCGGGATGCTGAAGACGCAATGAATGCTTTGGACAGAACTAGGTTTTTTGGAAGAGAGCTCGAGATTCAGTTTGCTGAGGGTGACAGAAAATGTGAGTATTTAAATGAATTTAGATCACAGTATTTAAGGCATTTTAATATGTTTTACCACTGCCACATTTTATATTTAATTACTGTCATGTTAGTGGTATTTTAGAAATTTTAATTTAGCTGTGTTTGTCAATACCAGAGTTCATCCATTTCTGTAGAAATACAGTATTTTTGTTTTATTAATTAACCATTTGAAAACCTGAAATGACTTGATATTGAGGGCATGTGCAGATAAAGTAAAATCAATTACTTCATCAGCAGCCACTTAGAATGTGTGTGTGTACTGTATGTTTGTTTCATTTCAAGTGACCAGTCTCAGGCTCTCTGGTTTTGTGTTGGCTTGTTTCTTAATGTTTGTCTTTGTAACCTTGTAAGTTGGTCTAAGCCTTGAATGAGTTCACCTTAGAATAATTAGATAATGATTACTGATTAAGAAAAATTGCTGCTGTTTGCTATTACTTTCTCATGATTTTTTTGCAGTTCAAGAAAGTATTACATTTTAAAGTAATATTAAAGATAATCTCTGTATATGTATTATGATCTATACTGTATAATTATTGTGTATTTTATTTAAGATTGGGTTTAATTTTTTTAGCTCCAGGACAAATGCGGTCTCGAGAACGAAGTTCACCATTCAACCGAGGGAGACGTCGTCGGTCCTACTCCCCAGACAGGTATGGTTACTTATTAAGCTATAAAAAGTGGTTTAATATAGCAGTGCATATCTTTCTGTGTATCCATGTAGAATTACTATGTAAAAAATGTTATGATACAGTATATGTTTGTTTTGTGAATACTGTCTTTGAAAAAAAAATGTTCTAATTTTCTTTTTAATTTAGACGAAGATCCAGAAGTCGAAGTCCTTATAGGTAAGTTCAGTTCTTAAATATTCAATGTGAGAAAGTTCTGAAGAAAGGACGAAATTTTCGAGTGCAATAAAATACTTATGTTCCTCCAATACGTCAACCATGTCATTTGAATTTATCAATGTCTCTATTAGTTATTTTTCTGGCAACATACATGCTCGCAATCATATTGATGCCTACTATATATATATATATATA